CCGCCGGCGGCAGCCCCCGCGCTCCCGGCAAAGGCCCCCGCTCCTCGGGCGGGACGGGGCTCTCCCTCCCTCTCTCAGCCCCGCTCCAGCGCGGCGTCCCCTCAGCGGCGTCGGGCACCCGCGGCCTTCCCGCCGCGAGCCCCCTCAGAGGGCAAGGCGGGAAGCTCCCCTCGGGGCGGCCGCGGCGGGAAGGAGCGTTCTCAGCCCGCGCCGGGAGACCCGCGGGGGCTCTGCCCGCCCGAGCCGCGTCCCCTCGGCCTCCCCACAGCGCGGGGACCCACCGAGGCGGCGGCGCCCCGGAGGGAGGCCCGCGGTGCGGGTTCGTCTTTCTCGGGGCCGCCGGGGCCGTGGGCTCACGGGGAGGGTCAGCGGCGGCCGTAAAAGCCCGCAAGCCAGCTATGGAGCCGTGCCTGGGAGAAAGCCCACGGTGGGGGGGGGGGGGGGAGGAAAAATAAACACATGGCGACAAAGTCCCCCTCGGTGAGGGTCCTCGGGCAGGGTGGAATGGATGCAGCCCCCGCCGCAGCTGTTTCTTCTGTGGAAAGGTGCGTTTCCACACAGAGATAGCTGAACACAACTTGGGTCAGTTGTGCTCAGACAATCAGCAGGTTTTGTTTCAATCCCTTTAATTTACTATTCCATTCCCTCATCTTTCCACCCCGAGCACCAGGTACCCAAATAATTTTTACCCTGTATCAGGCACAAATGACACCCTGGGGATGTTTACTACCAGACCTGGTCAGAAATTCTCAGACGGAATATTTTTGTCAGAGGACGATGGTTTGTTCAGATCTAGGTGTTTTGTAGAGATACTTCGGTTTTGGCTGACTCAGGGTGGCATCCAGGTAAATTTCCAGTTTCTCACTTTCCATCACTGGACAGACTGGGCTGTCACACTCCCCAGTCTGTAGCATTGGCCCTTCCATGCCAAAAGGGAGCCCAGGCCCTAAAAAACATGTAAAGACAAACCGTAGCTCCTCAGGGCTCCAGTTCTCTGATAAACCACCCCAAAATGGAGCCAAGTGGCAGCAGCCTGGCAAGCAGCAAGGAGGCTGGGGGCCACCTGCAGAGTCACCAGGTGCCTCTGCCGAGGCTAGTTCATGTTTCTGAACTCCAGCTGCTTCACGGCTCCTTGCAACACCTGCCCAGGAACAAGGGTAAAAGTTTCAGGGGACCCAGCTCCCAAATTCTGAGGTTTCGAGCTGAGATATGCTTCCCAGTTTTCTCCATCCTCTCAGAAGGGATGATGGTGAGCCCGAATTCAGGAAGCCTCCGGGGCTGCTCGGCAGCTCCCAGACACGCAGGTTCTTGCCAACCCACATTCTCATGTTCCAGGTTCCAGTGCAACCCAGTGGGGAGACTCCTCGAAAGCCGGCATCCAAAAACTTCCCGTGCCTGTGGATTCGAAGCAGCCAGCCATACAGATTGCCTTGTGGCAAGTTAGGAACCTATGGGTTCAGACAGTGTCTGAGGCTCAGAGGCAACTGGCATGGCTTTCACAGGGGTTTAAAACAAACGGTGTGTTTTAGTCCAAATTGACTGTACTAAATTTTGAAATATCAATATTGGGTACAAATCAAATACTCCCTACTTTTTTTTTTTTTTTCCTCCAGCATTCTTATATTATTCCCCAACATGCATTCCCTGAGTGTCTTGAATTTTGGAGGCTCACCACTAAAATTTTGGAACATTGCCCTGACCCAGTTTTTGGCTGCCTTGGTTGAGATGCCTGAAGTACAGAGATGTGGAACCCCTGTAGATTATCCCAACTTCATTTGAGGAAGTAGTTCCTCAATACCTCTAAAACAGTGCAGAAAATTTTTGACACTAATTACACCAGAAGCAGGGTGCCTAAATTACTGACTGTTGCTAGTGCCATTGACTTGCTGCATATTTGTGTTTTCCTGAAAAGGCCTAGTTCCTGATAGCTGGTGATTAGTTAAGAATCTGAACTTTCATTTAAAAAAAATCTTTTTTCACAACTTCAGAGAATAACCTGAATACTTAAACCAAGTGAAATGCAGAGGGTGAAGTTAAATACAGTTTTAGTGTAGAAATAACTACTTATTACAATTTTAAATGTGGCGAAGTTTAAAGTAATCTTTTTCTATTTCCCTAATTCTTGGTCCAGCACATTTTGCAAATAAAAGAAGCCCAGAAGAAGACTGAGCCTGAAGGACCTGTCTCAGACCTGGCAAGTCAATACTATGGCAGGGTGATCTCAGTGCAGATTTCTGCTGGGGACTGTATCCGTTTCTTTCTAGGTGTTCTGGCTAGAAAATTGTGGGGACAGTTCCATACTTTTTTCATCCAGAAAGTTTGCAATAATACTCAAATCTCATCTCTACACTTAGAAGTCATGATGTGACCTCAGTTCAGCAGGGCTTCCAGAATTTTCTGTACATATTCATGGGCTAATCTTCACTTGGTTACAGTCAAATTGCAAGTGATCGGCTGGGTAAATTTGAATAAGGGAAAGGAGGGGAGAGCTGAGTGGTTTGCTCACACTTGAACAGTGATTTAGTGACAAAAGGGTGAATAGAAATTTGCTAAACACTAAACAGAACTGGGTCACACTTGCTTAAAATCTCATAAATGAGGTGTAAGCAGCTAAATCACTGATCTAAACTCTGGGCCACAGCAGCACTGTGAACACTACTAAAAACAAATAAACATTTGGGTTTGGGATGTAGAATAAATTTTTAAGATTAGGGACATTACATTTTATGGAACAGCTTGTGTGCCTGCTAGGATTACCTGTCAGAATGAACTGTTCTATGAAAACTTGACTTTCTGAACCCCTAGACAGTAATCCTTTATTTCAGAGAGTTTTGGACACTCTCATAGTGGAAAAATTAACAGACAGGAAAAGACAGGACCGTCCCAATTTTGCATGGTCTGGATCCTTTCGCTGGTTTACAAAATGTCTGACGTCTTGGAAGCCACCTCTAGGCAGGATAATTTGTGATATAATTTTTTCTTTGCTTTTTAAAAGTCATTATCTTTGCTTGTTTATGGCATAGTACAGGTTTGGGGACTTCACTTACTGCAGTTTGCTCTTACTAAAAACTAAAGATTTATATATAGTCTGCAATAATGTGAGAAAACCATATACTTGGTTCATATACTTGAAGAAAAAACCCATACCCTTTACAGCTATCTTGCATTTCTTAACCTTTTACTAATACACTAGCACCTTAACAATTACTAAAAAACAATCTCTACATACCTTGTTTATTAGTAGGATCAACTGATGTATAGGAACAGAATTTAAACTTTACTTTCACAAAGTGAAAAATTGGGCTCTGATTCAGGAACAATATAAAATAAGCATGAGAAACAAGGAGGTGGCCTCTGAAGCTCACACATGCTCATATGTACCTTTATTAGAAATATTTTTAACAGCTTCAGAGATGGAAGAATATCTTCTGTGCTTCGCTCTATGTTCCCTTTATATCCTTCAAGGAGTGAGAAGGGAGCAAGGGATTTTCGGGCAGACGTGAAGCCAGTTCCCTGAGCTCCTGCCACTCTCCCCAACATCCCTTGTGAAGGGGCATGCTGGAACAGGCAGGCTGGAGGAAGCGTGGCCAGAGCACACTGTTCTCTGGCTACACTCAGCTAACAGACAGTTCTTAGGGGAGCCCAGTGCCTGCTGAAACAGCTCCCAGGCTGTTTTAACATGCAGTTGTGGCTAGTTTGAAAATCAGGGAGTGGTTGAGAACCAGCTTCTAATTTACTGCCCCCCTCTCTCTTTCACTTACTGACAGAATTATTAAGTATAATTTCCTACGTGGTCATTACCAGTGTGTGGAAGGGAATTTTACAATGGCACTGACCAAGACAGTTGAGAAGCAGGTGGACAGCCTGTGAAGTTCACAGCAGATAGGGATTTACTAGAGCAGCTAAGAGGGCTGTGACCTCCTCAACTTTGTTTGCTCCATGGTACGTAAGTAGCAGGCCCACTGAAGGGTGAGATAGGCAGCAGTGAAAATCAGGAGATACGTTTTAAATTGGGTTATATTCATATGTTAACTTGTAAATAAGGGCTATGACATTTAACTTTGAATCTATGTCACATATAATATGCATAAACAAGGGAAAGTGTGGGAGCTTTCCTTGGCTAAGGTATTTTATATATATATATGTAAAACAGCATTTATATGCAAGCAAACCTATCTTAATCACTCAGAACAAACCTACAGGAAAATAACTTTAGGTGTGAGTCATGAAAAAAGCAAGGTCATTCTAAGTTAATGCCTTCAGAGTTAACTTCAACACTGCAACACAGCTCAGACAAATCCTTTCAGGGTACAGCAATTATTTTTCTCTACATATGAGAGAACTTGTACATATACAATAAAAAGTTGCTTTGTTGAAAATTCATAATACTTAATACACACAAGATAATTCACCTGCATGTTCCAAGAGGCTCAATAGTGGCGGGGGGGGGGGGGGGGGGGGGTGTCCGCT